CGAGTCTTTTCCAAAATATCTCATGACTGTAACTCAGATGATGTCAGACAATGCGACATTGCGAATCGTATTAAGCTGTTGCACTGTTATGAAACGACTTGGTGAAACGTTAAACTTGACCTACGAATAGAATTGCGTACCAAAAATAGATAAACGACGAAGTCCTTTATCGAGCACAATTATATATTAGGTGCGCAACTAAGTTCTCGCTGTTATTTTGATGGAAATGCATCAAAATAACAGCGAGAACTTAGTTGCGCACCTAATATATAATTGTGCTCGATAAAGGACTTCGTCGTTTATCTATTTTTGGTACGCAATTCTATTCGTAGGTCAAGTTTAACGTTTCACCAAGTCGTTTCATAACAGTGCAACAGCTTAATACGATTCGCAATGTCGCATTGTCTGACATCATCTGAGTTACAGTCATGAGATATTTTGGAAAAGAATCGCGGATCATAACAGAATTCTTTAAGGTGAAATTCTCAAAAGCTGATAGCATTTTAAATTCATTTTTGTATTTGCGTCTTATATTTCCTTCTCGAGTAAATTTAAATGCTGCGTTACGAAATATCGAAGAAACGCGCGGATGTATAACTATAAAAGGCTCTCGATATGTTCGAGTTTTTCTATCTCATATATAGCGCAGAATTTTTATTTCATAAAAGAAAATATCAGTTCGTGACATTCTGTCACATTCGTTTATCGTTCTTTACACATTTAGAAGTACAGCGTGCCAATTTTTTTTCTTCCCCTTTTCCTCTCCTCTTGAATCTTTTCCTTGGACCCACGCACGTGCCACGGTCTGTTTATTGCGGATTGCATTAGTCTTTTTGGTTTATTTCGCAAATGTGTTGCCGCGTTTTTGAAACTGGTCCAAATTTAAATCTTGACGTTAGGTCACGGTCGTGCTATTTTTAACGCTGGCACGCTGATCCTACGATATGATCGACTGCTTAAACATTTTTTTATCACGAATAAAACGAAACAAAAAAAATTTTTTTCAATATCGCAAATAAAGATTTATCGTTCGATAGCTATCTGTACAAGCTTGTATATACAAGATGTGTACATAACTATAGCGTCTTTATGAAAAAACTTAACACATGCACTTGATTAGAGTACAGCTTTCACAAATATGGCTCTGGCATAACAAGGAGTCATTATGTAAGAGAAGCAGATCTGTGTGCGAGTAAGTGCATTTTATGACAGAGCAGCACATGTATTCGTCGCTCTAAATGGCGATAGAAAATCCATTCGCGGCACGTCATAATGTGAATCATTTTCTTTTATCACTATAATTACCTGTTTGTTCCGTTTCATCTGTTCCAGATAATAATTTTTATTAGTAAATAATATTATCATGCAGCTTAGAATTGCACGTCCGTATTAAACGAAAGAAATAAAAGTCACATTTAGACAGAGTAAAGACTAATGTTTTTTTTTTTAATAAAAAATATTGTGTTTTTTTCTTAAATAAATGTTTTAAATGCTTCAAATATGCTTCAAACAGTATTATAAAAAAAACATATTTAACATATTAAAAACTTCAATTAAGCATGTTTAAAACATGTTTTTTACCAATCCTACATTTAGAGCATTGAAATTATAGATTTTTTACAACCTAAGTTTATAAATGTTAATATTATAAAAGTTAATATTAAAGTTTATAAATGTTTAAATATTTCTAAAAAGTATCTGTCGTATTTTATTTATAATGCGCATATACCGCATTTTTATTTTCTTTCTTATTGAAGTACCCTCATATTTTATTTAATTATAAATAATAATTGCGTCTACTGCGGGATTTAAAAAAAGAAGAAATAAACAGTTTAACGAGTGTTAAAACTTCAATCTACCAAAATTGTCAATATATTATATATATGTTAAGTCGCATATCCTTGCATTATATCGTATTACATTGTATCTTATTTCTTCATTAGTTGACCTCGTTCATTCGGAATACACTTTCTTTTCATAAAGGAAACATGCTGAAGTCTTATCCCGCGCGATATTCTACTAGCGGAGCTAGAACTGGTACTCGAGTGATTCGTTTGACGGTGGATCAGGAAGCAGTTCTTCAAGAGCAGTTTAACAGATGGCCAAGAGCACCTCATACTGCGGACGTTGTACTTCTCGCAGCTGAAACAGGTCTTTCTGAGGCGGACGTTGAAGTAAGTGAACACATAACAATTACATATTATAATTATATTAGAAATAAGTGTGAGATATTTGAATAAAATGAATTAGGCGAGTAAGGTACATCGATAAAGATACGTTGCAACCCTTGGCTTTTGTTCTAGGGATGGTACGCCATCAGACTGGCTCAGTGGCGGAAAGAACAGGGTCTCGGCGGGAATCTGGGTATACACTGATGATCGTACGAGAGCGCTCGTACTTGTGCGCTAAACTCGTCTCACTTTTGTACCTGAAACTCTTATACATATACAGACAGATGTAATGGGTCGATAGCAAATTATTCGAGCAATGTACTTCTTTCCTTTAAACTCGCTGGTCTTATGTCCGTATTCATAGTCAGACCTTATATTTAAGGTTTCCTTAAATTTATTTTTAGATACTCAGTAGTCAATAAAATAATTCGTAGAGCATCTGAAGATAAATTTAAGGAAGCCTTAAATATAAGGCCTGATTATGAATACGAGTATTAGTCTAAATTTCATTGTAATCATAGAAGTTTTATTATTTATTGTAAATGTGTAACAGAAAAAAAAAGAATGAATTTGTGTAAAAAATTACTAATTGTACGAACGCATAACATATTTATACATAATATTTAAGACATTGAAAATAATTGTAAATTTTCAACATTTTCTAAGCAAAGAAAAATTACTACAAACGATCATAAGATTATAAAAATGCTTTTCTTAACTAACATATTCTTAACACGTAATTTAGTTATTAATTTTGATGAAATAACAATTACTCAAAAATAATTAAACAAGTCAATTTAATTGAAATATTAAATTCAATTACTTACTTATACATCCACGCTGTAATTATAAAATAGGTAAACAGGTAGGAAAAATGAATGTGTGTATGTGTGAGAGAGAAAGGAAGAGGAAGGGTGGAGAAGAAATTTCTAAAATCTTCAAAATAAAATGGGTAGCATCGTTTACATTAAAGGAAATTGGAGGATTTTATTATACCAATGGCCAGTCTATGTACAGAAATGTTTTATTCTTAAATTATGCACAAATTGCAATCAATACAAATGTATCTGAAACAAGCAAGTTGGGGGATATCTCAGTTTTTTTGGCTGTCATAAGAATATTCAGATAAAATGACAGCTGTTTTGTTAGGTGTCGATATATTGCATCAACCGCCATGTGTTTTTGCAAAATTCATGAGACACGTCCGATTAGTTGTTGTCATATCCGGAAGAAGAAACAACTGTTTTAAATTGATAACTGATTTTTAATAATGTTGATAATCAATTTAAAACAATTGATCATATCTATTTTATAGCTTAGTATAGTAAAGCTAGTTTATTTGTTCAGACATCCACATTTCGACTAAGTAGTATTATAGTAATAAAGGTATGCGCTAAGTCTGCACTTTAGCTAGATATCATAAAACATGTATCATTCCTTCTCTGGCACATCATACATTGGTATTACTAAGTATACGTTTACTTTCTTTTTAAATCATGCGAAACAATGCAGAAACAAACTCGATATCGAATTCTAAAGTTTGATATAGTATGCTTAGACTGTAGTAAAAGTAAAAAAAAAAAAATTAAAAGAAAAGAAAAAAGAGAGAAAAGAGAAAGAAAAGACTAAATTACGTGAAAAGTGTATTCGGAAATAAAAACCGACTCCTTGTGCACATCTGATCGTGTTAGATTCGAATAAGTCATTTTTGCAATCATCATGATACTATTAATCAACACTCAGCTTTGAAACGTAAAAATCTAGTGTTGTTAAATAACTCTACTAATAATTGTAAATCAAAAACTCAATTTCCTCAAGTAAATAGAAAGGAACATCATTGGGAACACCTTTGAACCAGAATTTCTTAGAGCTGCCGCCTACCATTGTTATAATTAACAACGGAAATCCATACACATTTTCCTGGTATCGCGTCGAGTTGCATCTTAGTTATGTCGCATTCGTTTCAGTTTTCATAATTATCTCCGATATATAGCGTATCAGAACGAGATTGATATAAAGTAATAAAGTATCAAAGCAACTAGATATATCTTTACGTTAATACGGAACATTCATGAAAAGTACGTAGAATAATTTACTGCCATTTAATTTGATTATTATAAGCTAAATTAAATAAATTCGATATCACGGAATGATATCGGGAGCACACTGCAAATATTGTATTATACATAAGTACTGAGCGACATATCTAGATGAAAACTTATCCAGAGCGATAATTGACGTACGAGCCGCGATTATCCAGCCTAATATTGGATCGTTAAACGTTAACGAGTGACCAAGGTGACCGTACGGTACATCCGAAGCACTGCCACATAAGTTAGGAGCTTGGTATAAAAATGAGGCACAGTTTCACAATCAGGGAATCCTTCTTACCAAATGCTATTCTCTATCTCCCAATGAATGTATCCGTATATCAAACATGACAGTGTAATTACCATCATTAAACTAAACCATGCATGGATATTAATATGTGTCCTTAAATGTGTTTAAGGAGAATGACGATTTCTTAAACAACTGTCGTATTCTTATCGGTAGCAAACAGTCTTAACAACGAGCGTAGACTAATCATGTCGCGTTCCATAATCGTGTAGTCCTTGCGTCGGTATGCGTCATGTTACGTGCTGGGAGTTAATAGCTCTCATCAGGTGTAACGTAGCAACGTTAGTAGCAATTGGCGACAACGCAACGGTTGCTTAGCCACTGGTACCGTTAACCAGAGCTTCTTTAGGCTTATTGCTCTGCTGCATACGAGGAGGACGAGACCGATGTTCTCTTTGGCCTTTAGGTCCTTGCGAACTGTTGTTAGACATGGATACGTCGTTCGCGGGTGTTCCTTCCTTGTTATTCATTGTTGATTGGTCGCACGGGCCGGCATTACTGCCTAAACAAATTTATAGATTAATTCTGAATGTTTTCGTATGTACAAGTGTGCGCGTCAGCCTATTGATCGAGTACTGGAAAATGGATATAATCTGCTTCTTTATACAACCGATCGTCCTAAAGAGATGCTCACGCGAGCTTGATACTAAAGGATAGACCTACCTGTCTGACTAGCACTTATTGGCGTTGAGCTTCGTTGCCGCGAACGCCGAAGTCGTCTTCGTCTTATTCCTTTAGCTCCTCCCTCCACACTCGATACTGACTCTATACATACACAAACCATTGTGACCATCTGTCTCGAACTCGCAATTAACATTTAAAGATAAACTTAATCATAAATAGCGAAAGCTGCACTGCATACGTTAGTAGCATGCAATAGAATATTTATATCGATTTGATGATAACATTAGTGTTAGATGGTCACAAGAGTTTGCTCCGCATTTCATGCCAATCTCAAAGCATTCTGATACGCGCCACACGTTGCTTTGTCTTTAGGACGAAACGGTTAGAATTGTCATCAACATGTATGCGTCTATTCTTTATTCGCTTGCTTTCTCTCTCACACATACGCGCGCGCGCACGCACGCACGTTACCAATAAATATTACCTCTATCAATGCTTGAAACGTCTTGGCTGTCTAAAACAGTGTCTTCGTCATCGGTAGTACGACGACGTTCGTCTCTACGATCTCTACGTTGGGTTGGAGGACGACCTTGTCTACCACTCATGTACCCTGAATTACCAGCTCCCTGATGACCACCTCTTGGCGGTAAATCCCGAACACGATCCTCGCTACCATCCAAAGTATCTCTACGTAATCCTGAAAAATACCCGGTTAATTGTCGGATTTCTAGATCATATAGACAATTATATAATATTTCACTTGCATTTCATATCGCTTATTGTTAAATATGCCTTACACAAAAAAGTCATAATCAAATCGAAATAAACAATAAATCCTAATTCTCTCGCAAAATCTTTACAAAATGCAATATTACATTACAAATTATCAAGTTTATATTTTAATATTTTGATAATTAAAATAATTATAATGCTGTCTGTTGTAAAATTACCAGCATTGTGTCTGGTAGGGGCTCTACCCCGAGACCCGCGCCCTCGAGACTGACCACCGCGACCTCCACGACCGCTGATACCCTCTTCAGGTCCTGCAACCATTCCTCGTCTTGTCGGAGGAAAGCTGGGCATCGGTCCTGTGGTCGATCCGTGCATGCTTCGTAGTTGTTGATCAATTTCTAACTTTTCTTGTCGCAGTTGTTCTACTTCCTACATAAATTATACAAGATAATCAAATCCCACGATCAAATTCGCAATTTATTTTACGACTCCTTTCTGGGATATCGGTTTTATATATTTCAGAAAGGATTAGTGCATTGATATATAGTTACCTTTAAATGTGCCAAATGGTATTCCAACAGAACTTTGGCATTGGCGATGCTTTCGACAGTGCCAACAAAGACAAAGGGCACCTGACCCTCCTCTCGTGGAATCGTTGGTTGAGGTTCGTTGTCTCCTTCTATTTTTACTCTTACCTGCAATGCGTAGTTATTAAAATTGCGCTATTAACGCACTTAATGATACGGATTATTAGTATGAGACGCTTAAAATCGTATTTCATATCCATACCATCAGTTTTCAGTCACTGGCGTTTGTCATTTCCATCAATAGACTTGTCGATCAGTCTGCGAAAATTTGCTTAAATATTCTTTACACCCTTTATACTCCCAAAAATATTTGTTTTCAATAAAAAAAATTAATTTCTCGATTTTTTTACCTTTTCTCAAACATCATCTTTTAGGTAATATGTATCTTCTCACAATCACAATTATATATCATGATATCATATCAAAAACGTGGCAATTATATCGTGTATTTATAATCACAGTTTTTTTTTCCTTTAGATATAATTATAAATAAATTTAGAGATTTTTATTATTTCATTTTCTTTTCTTAAATAACAATTTTTGCCTATTTATACATCATTAAAAAAATAATCTTTTGTTCTACAATTTAATATAGTTACAATATATCTTGTACATGAAAAACTAATTAATAGGAGATTTATAATCTCTATAGAAAACAAAAGAAAACAAAGGAAAAAATATTCACATATATACGTACATTAAATTTATCTGATTCCCCATGATATACATATTCAATATGCTATTGCAATAAAAAGTTTTCATCACACAAAATATTCTTGTTACTTATGATAGAAATGTTATGTCGTATATCTCCAATTATTAACAAGTTTTCCATAAATCAGATTGTAAAAGTATATTCTGAAATGATATTCGCTTTAAAATATAATTGACGACAAAAAACAAATGCATGGACATGGAACGACTTATGCATCTAGTTACTGTTTGCGATGCACATGTGCATTAAAAGGTCCAT